TGTTTATATATATATATATATATACTTCTTAAATGTAATATTTTACCTATAGGTTATATAACAGTTCAATATGTGAATTGTTATCCAAAAAAATTGATAACAATTAAATTTGTTTGTGGTTTTAAGGATATATGGGTTAATTCGACACAAATGATAAATTGCGATAGATTAAACGGATAAAGGAGGTAATAAATTATCAAATCACTTGAGGAGGGTGATTGCGGACTTAACAACAGCTTTAATAAAATATCCGTCATCGATCCCGGACTCACAATGACCAAGCACTGATGAACAAGAATAAAATTTTTAAATAATAAAAAAAATAATAGTATATTGCCTTGATATGTGTGTTACAGTGTCTAATGAATAATCAGATCCCTTTTTATATAGTAGGAGAGTCTTACCCTAGGTACAATTCCATAAAAGATAAAAATCTTCCGTTTAACTAATCACTCGATTTCTACTGGTATGTATCGAGATCCGCGCCGTGATACCCGGCTGGTCACGAATGCCACGACCTTCTGTTAATCGTGCTCGATTGCCTGACAACGCTTTCTGAAGTCTTTTGGGATTTGAACCGATCCCAAGGTCATGGCCCCGATATTCTCAAGGGAGGGCGTTGTACCCCAGACCCTGGCTCGATGAGAGTCTCGCCTCTATTCCGATTTCTTATCATCACGTTTCTTACTCGATTTGCCTTACTTGATTTACTTTATTAAAAATTATGGTGTCCCATGGGCCCGATTTCACCCGTATACTTCGTCACCGGATGAGAGTGAGCTCTGTTAGAAAATTGTTTCTCCTTTTGTCCAGTAGTGTTTTCTGTTTCATTACCATATGTCAGCTGCCAACGGCTTGCTACTTATTTTGGCGTTGTTTGTTTCTCCTTTTGACAAAGTCTTTCAGACGCATGGCCTACATTTGATTGGCAATTACGGTAAGCGTCAGACTTAATATATAGAATGTAATTAATCAGTGTATACATCATAATTTAAGATCTAACCATGTTATAGAATTCGTCGTTCTATTAGTTAACCCATATATAAAACTGATTCTTACATCTTCAACTTCAAGTAATATCTTATTGACATGTATTATACAAGCAAATGATACTTAGTACTTTACTTGAAAATGGAAGGTTTAGAGCAAAGAGGATCCACAACATCACTGCTTTGAGTAAATCAAGATATTCAGCGCTACTAATTAATTCAATTATTCTACTACAATATAACGTAAAGACTTGACTTTATATTGGGATAAAGACAAATATAAACACTCATTAGGGGTCCAATGACATGATATACACATCCACAACGATGAGCAAATACAGGGCCAACAAACTATTTAATGCGGGAAGACTTGCACACCGATAAAACTAGCATTAATAAATACGAAAAGAAAATAAATTTGCATACTTCTGGAAAACAGAATTGACGTCTATATTTATGACTTGTTCTATATTTTGATTCTATTTTGTGTATCTACGTTACCTAAGCAATATTATCCACAATCATAATAATTTTATTTCCCTTTCAGTGGCTTAATTTAATTCAGACGATATCCTTAAAAATAAAAAGGAAACAAAACACCTAGCTCGTAGACCACAACTTAATCATATCCTCTTTAATTTCTATTCAGTAAACATCGTTCCCCATGCTTCTATCGGAAGTTTGGATGAATCCAAAACATTTATTAATGTACGTCGGCAGGAAAACTAACTCAAATTAGCCCATATTTTAGGTTGCGTTTTTGGATGTATTAGGCCATATTAGGTTTTAAAAAGATTAATTACTTCAGATTAATCTAGTTTAGAAACGACATATTTTTTTGTCTAGATAGTGAACCAATATCACTGTAGATGAGAGTATTTCCACAGACGTCACGATGTTACAAAAATGAAATATTCCTAAATAATTTGCAATCTCTTTCGACTTTCAATAACGTCAAAAAAGGTCGTTTTTCTCATTGACAGGTCCATATATCCATTTGATGCAATTTATACAATTCACAGTTTTTTTTTGCCATAAAAAACTTAACCTCTGATTCGTGGTTAGACATTGACAGCGTTAACGTTCCGTATCCAACTCTGATTCAGTTATTCGACTTTGCCAGACAACAAGGAAAGAACAAACACAAAATCTATTTAAAAAAGAAGAGGGAAAATTGAGAATTACTTGTCAAAAGGAGGGACATTTGCTTCCTTTCTCCTCTCTACTCAGCATTATTTTTTGCGCACTACTTGTTCTCAGCAATAAGATCATTTACTTGCTTTTCTTTACCTTCAGTTTGTCAATTCTTGCATATATAGCTCCTGTAATACGTTTTCATCTTATTTTAAAACGCTTTATTATTAACCAGTGTAGTTCAACATTTACAGTATACTAAATCGATTTTTCGTTCAATATTTATTTTAGGCATGAAAACTCAACTAATCAGTCTAAAGCACAACAAAACAAAATAACAGCACATCAAACACACCCACAAACATTGTGTGATAGGTTTCTCGTAGACTTGTTCTCCTCCTTTAATTTTCCTTCTAGACTAGAACAACTCAAAAGTGGTCTATATTTAATACCATATATATAGCAGCATCAACTCAACAACGTATAAAGAAGGTAGCCGAACTCATTAGCTTTGGTCTAAATATAAACTTAATTTAAATTCATTATATACGTATAAATTTTTAATTTAAAACCCAATAACTTAAAAAAAAATTATAATTATTTGTATACGGGTGAAACCGAGCCCATTGGATACCTCGATTCTCGATGGAGTAGACGGAGCATAGACATGAGCATAAGAAACCGGAATCGGGGCAAGGAGCCCCTCGAGTCGGAGTCCGGGCAAAACACCTGCCCTTGGAAGAATCGGGGCCACATCCCCAGGTCCGATTCGAATCCCAAAACTTCGGAGAGCATTACCAGATAATCGAGCACGGCTAGCAAAGGGCCGTGATATCCGCGCCAAGCTGGATGTCACGGCGTAAATCTCGGCACGTATCGACAGAAAATCTGTGATTAGCAATACAAAAGATTTTTACCTTTTATGAAATTGTACTTAGGGTAAAACTCTCCTACTATATAAAGAGGAGTCTGACTATTCATTAAACACACTGTAACACGTATATCAAGACAATATATTCTTATTTTCTATGTTATTCAAAGTTCTTATTTTTGTTCATCATTTCTACATTGTTGTGAGCATGAGATCGCAGGCAGGCAATACATTAAGCTGTTACTGAGTCCGGATTCACTCCCCTTAATTGGTTTGACAATTTATTACATCCTTTATCTGTTTAATCTAACGCTTTTTATTATTTGTATTGAATTAATCCACATATCCTTAAAAATTACATATAAATTCAATTGTTATCCGTTTTTTTAGGGTAAACAATTTGGCGCCCATCGTGGGGCTAAGGATAATAGTGACCATTAGATACAAATTTTCATAACACACTCTATTTTACACTTATTCTTTGAGCTTTTAATTTCAGGTCAAATTAAAAATGTCAAACTCCCAATCTGCCCATTTGAACGTTGATGCTGAGTCCGGCCACCACGGCGAGAACAACAATGTGGTGCCCAGCAACGAGGTGCCCCATGTTGACCCCAACGGAATCCCAGTCGTGGATCCAATTGATGCTAACTCACACGTGGCTATCAAAGCAAACCTTCCTACTACCCCGAAAACAGCATTCGCGAAGGAGCCTAGTCGATAGCCTGAAGTACACACGACGACAAAGGTGATGTGATCAACTTGCAGGTGATCTTCGAAATGTTACAGGCTCAACAGGTAGCGATAGCCTAATTGCAGAACCAAAGCCGCGCCCCCAGCAGAGTCGAGCCCGAACCATCCGGGGAAAGTGCTCACAGAAATGGACCAGCCACTGAAAGGCAGGGTGAAGCAGAATCCGGAACCAACCCCGAGATAATAAAGATGCTTGAGGAACTGACAAAACGGGTGGAATCGGGAGAAAAGAAAATCGAAGCCAACGACCAAAAATGGAGACCTATAACTCGAGGGTCGATCAAATACCAAGAGCACCACCGATACTGAAGGTCCTAGATTCCAAAAAATTTGTCCAAAAGCCTTTCCCTCCGAGCGCTGCTCTGAAGCCGATCACAAAGAAGTTCTGTATGCCCGAAATTCCGAAGTACAATGGAACAACTGATCCAAATGAATATGTGACCTCCTACACGTGCGCCATCAAGGGGAACGACTTGGAAGATGACGAAATCGAATCCGTTCTGCTGAAAAAGTTCGGAAAGACTTTGTCAAAAGGAGCAAATGCTGAAGTACGAATCGAACCCAAGCAACAAACTACAAGTCAAGTTGTGTCACTCCCAAATCGTCTTATACAACTACCTAAGCTAGATCTTAGAGTGTTAATTAAAATATGTACTCCACCTATTATTTATGATATATACACATAAATACATACTCTATATTTTTTGGGAATTTATCAGGGGCTCGTGACCCTTTGCCCAAAACCCCATAAAATGGGTTTATCATACACTTACTGGTCCATTTACTTCTAGAAGAACTCTAAAAGAGTGTTGTTTTCTATATAAAGCAAAACACCATATATATATTCGTCGATTCACCATAACCACTAGAAGCACTTTTTGCATCTAATCCTTTAA